AAAAATGGACGTGAATATGCTGATCGCTTCCAGGGTAACTAGTGGTATTTCTGTTTGCTGTTCAGCCGTTTTGTGCGAGACAGCATCAATAAATAATTACAGAGTGATTACATATGCATAGAAGTATGTAAGGTTCTGCGTCTGGTTTACTATGGAGATTGTAAGGAGTCCGAGAAAATGCAGGAGAATATGCTGATCTAGGACACCATACCAGCGGCACAGGTACCAGCTAAAAGCCCAGACACGTGGGGGGAGGGGGGATTCGGCTCATCAATGGGTCTTTCGGATTTTCCGTGTGCTTTCTGTTAGATACTCCAGTCTAGAACTTGTCGCTATTCTAATTTCCTCAGAAATAAATCACTAGCTTGAAGTAAGTCAGTTTAAACTAAGGCCTATAGGTGCAGATCGAAATTTCATATGCTTATCATTTGTAGGGTAAATAGTTTAGTGAGACTCAGAAGGAGAGATAAACAAATCACTAAGACTCTGGAGGATACAGCTGATTCTGAAAATAAACTAAACATCAGGTAAATTAAATGGTTTGAAGGGCAGATGCCACCGGAGGCTAGACAACTCCAAGTTAAATTCTATTGAACCCGAACTTCCCGAAGACGTTTCTCAGTTATAGATGCCGACGCAGGACAGACGACACCTGATGGTAATGAAAAGTCAATTAAAAGGCAATTGGGCCCACAGGCAAACAAGATGAACTTTTGAAGTAGTGAGCTTACATCTTTATCTGAATGAGCTACTTTTGTTTAAAGAAACAATACTCATAAGAAAACCTCGAGCAGAGGGTTAATTTGTAGTTTAAGCTTGTGTGCGATTTTACCGGCCACAGAGATACGTTTTTTGACCTGGAGACGCCGGTTAATCGGTAGGCATCGGAAATATCGTAGAAGGATCATAGGCATGACACATCGGCCGCAAATTACAGTTGTCGACTCTATGATCAATCCCGAGTGAATGTGTTGCGTAAGTTATGCCAATGATCATTTCCTTCCGGAAATGTTTGTCATGGTTCAAATAAGCGAAAAAGAGGATAAATCATACGATGTCGGGTAAACTAGACTAGCTGGTGCACAAGGCTGAAAAATCACTCAGAATTGAGTAGAGGAAAAAATATCAGTTCAAGTTTAGACGGCCATAACAACAGCTGGCAGCGAGAAGACAGGACTGACCCTTTGTAACGACGGGGTTTTATCCACCCGTTTGCCCCCATCCTACGAAAACAAATAACGAGAAGCAGTCCACTTATATGTTTGTTTCGACAGGCTGATCTGCGCAAAGAGCGTACCCACGCTATCCGTACGGCAAAACTTGCAAATCAGTTATGCTAAAAATAAAAGACGAACGACCCCTTTGACTGGTCCATCCCCGTTTATTTCCCCCCTTAAAATGGGGTCATGCGCGGTTAGACACGGGAAAAATACCCTCCTCTGTATTACATGTGACCTTTCGATGACTTTCAGCCGAATGCCCATTATCGCGTCCTAGCTTCAATCTTAACCCCGACACGAGCCTCGGTCCTGATCCCCTTCCACTGGAATTCAGGACAAGTCTGCCTCTAATGTGGAGGACATAAATGTGCCGAGGCACCAGTCTTTCTTGCCTTTACCTACCTGTTCATGATTCTTGAACTTATTGGTTGTTTAACTGACTGGAAGGAGCAAAACACGACGCGACGCGCTCTGCATCTGTTGGATTTTCAGGTCGTTTGACATTTGATTGTTAATTCTCTCATAACTCTGGTCTTATCCTGATGTCCATAGACTGGGATTGACAGTTGTGTCCTCAGCGCTCGCAGTAGTGGTGATCCCGACGTGATCCGAACAGGCAAGACATATTCCTGTGCCCCACCCCATGCGCTTATAGGGTAGTAAAACCATATACTGGAGGAGCATTTGCCTCCTTCGATGAGGGCTTATACTTTAGAAAAACCAACGAAAGAACATCTGGGGATTATTGTGTGAACAGCCTCCCGGCGTAACTGTTGACTTTCAGGGCCTGCTGCGGCAGCTCAGTGGTTTAGTTGATCATCTGGGGGTCAACATGAAAGACAGTATGCTCGATGCATATTATCGCAGTCTGTGGTGACCCTAGACCGGGCGTCTACTGCAAAACTGCTGGTTCGTCTGACGCACGTAGGTGCCAGCGCAGTCTAACGTCCTTCCATAGCGCCTGACCAATCTTTAAAGCCGAGAAGCTCTGTTCTGCGACTGTCTTTGATCGCGAGTCCGAATGAGACTCCGAAAGGTAAGGCCAATAAACTTGTGGCAGCGATTGCATCTTCTACTTCTTAACTGCTTCCTGGAACTCGCTTACTTGCTTCTTTCGGCAGGCTCTGTTTGGTTTTCGTCCGATTACTTTCAAAGCTGATGCAGGTACGTCTCACTCAAGAGCCTCAGGCTTCACCACCGGCGACGCCGGCTTTAATCCGCCTCCGGCAGTATCTCTGCATACGGTCAGACGAGATATGCAGAAAAGCATTACCGACAAAGACAAGGGGCAAAGGAATGGCCATTTGTGGCTAATTAGTCGTCTTCAGTCAACCATACCCATACTAGACGTGCGCAACACCTGGGGCTCGATCCCGCGACGACGGCTAATAAGCGAGAAATGTCCATTCCTGTCTCCCTTATTTTCGTCAGTAATGCTACTCTGCGTATATCACGTGCTGCCGGGTGGTCGGTGGCGAGGCCTGTGAGGGAGGGTCTCAAGGCACAGCGGGACTGGTGAGTTTCGAAGCGCGATCAGTGAGCGTCCCTCTACCATTATCATATGTATGTCAATTCTCCAGATTTAAACATCATCGAAATTATGTATCTTCACCCTCACCAAATGAAATGTGCATCGTGCGAAGGAACGCTTCAACCACGAAAAACTTAATTATGCGCTCGCTTGCTTCATATCATTGACAAACACTACCAGCTTCAAAATCTCCAGTTCTATCAATTTATTTGGACAACAGAATAATGAACCAAGTATTAAAATGTCCCATGTACCAATCTTTTCGATTAGTTATTCATTTACTCATTTGCATACTTCCCCTATATTCTAACAGGATAAGTTATTCGCTTGGGATATACACGCTGTTCGAGTTCATTCGTTTTTGCTTAGACTTTTTGTGTCCTGGCTGACAGTGAATGTATGTGCTATATTTCTAACTAGGTGTTCTATGTTTGGAGTTTTGGGCGGTACATCGAGGAGATTTCTGATTTATACATTTTCCGGTAATCTTCGAAGCATTATGTAGGCTTACTCAGTCATTGAATTACTGATACACTTTACTGACACAAACACACATTAATCATTTGCGAAAGCATAGAGTCAGTTAAACATAAATGCGGTCATACCAATTGCTGAAGTTGGATGTAATGTACGTCAAACTAAGAAACAGTTGTAAAGGAGGTGAGCAAATGACCTCTGGAATATTAGGTGTATTAGTCTGAGCTTTCGGTCTCGTACAGGAGGTCATCGTCAGAGACTGTGAGAATGCGACATCAAATGAGCAGTTTTTGTAATCAATCCCTGAGGGGGGGAAATGAGTCTCACAGTCTCTGACGCTGGCCTCCTGTACGAGACCGAAGGCTCAGACTAATACGCCTACTACTCCAGAGAGCGTTTGCTCATCGCCTTTACAACAAGAACCTGGGATTCGCATATTCGTTTCCATCCGTGAAAATTTCGGGCGTAATGTGCTTAGCACAGCTAGCATCTGGGAGACATTCTCCACCCGAGAGGCAGCAACATATGAGCAGCCACGTTTTCTGCGCAGATGTGTTCGCGAAGGACTGACACCGAGGAGCCTATGCTACAAGACTCCAGTGAATACTAAACTGGGTAGGAAGGTGAAGCAACGTTTTCGCAAGCAAATGACAAGAGTGTTGATTGACGACTGCCATTTGCGCTTACACAAGTACCGCGCCGTCATTGAACAGAAAAGGACAGAATGCGCGACATTGTTTGGCCAATTGGTGACTGATTCCCTTGACCGAACAATTTCCATCTCGACAAAAAGGAGACAGGAGTTAAAACGCATGAACCTAGAGCAGAAGTTCAGAAAATTGAAACCCGAACACAAGACGAACGAAAATGTGGTGCGCAATCTATCCTCCAGGCAGTTAACGGAACAAGAACTGAGGGTGCTGAGTCGTGAAGCCAAATTAAATACGGCAGATGCTAAACCAGCCGAATTTGTTGCCGCATTTGAAACCATGCTAATAAGAACCAAAGCAATCGACGAGGCTAAACAAACCGTTCGCCAGAAAGTCACCTCCCTACTGCTGACGAACAGGCCCACCAATAATATGCCTTCCGCAGAAATAGAAGCAATGAAGGAATTAAAATGGACAAAGATTTAATAATTCTGCCAGCCGACAAAGGAAGAGCAACCGTCCTGATGAACCGCGTCGATTACAACCAAAAGGCACAAGCCCTCCTCAACGACCAACAGTCCTGCAAATCACGCCTTCCTCACGAGCGAAATCGATGATTGGTCAACTAACCGGACTCCTGAACCGACTCAACGCAACAGTGCGATATCGCTAGACGAATGACGACAGATGAAACCAGCGAACGCGACACTGGCCCGGTTTTATGGATTACCCAGAATCCACAAGCCCAATGTTCCCCTTCGACCGATCGTTGCCTTGAGAAGCAACCCCACTTACAATCTAACCAAGCGGATGGCCCGAAAACAGAACTTTCTCAGAGAAGGCTCGAGGACCTCCATCGATTCGGCCTCTCAATTCCTGGCCGACATCCGAGGAAAAGTTGTCCGACCTGATCAGATTATGGTGTCCTTGAACATGGCCTCATTATTCACATCCATCCCACCAAACCTGGCACGCGAGGTTCTTCGCAAATAACTTGAAGAGAACTACGACGAAAGGAACAGACCCCTAAAAATCGACCACTTACTGCAACTCTCTGCTTTCTGCCAACAAACCTTCTTCACCTTCAATGGCAGAACATACGAGCAGATTAAGGGAACACCGATGGATTCGCAAATATCCAGCCTGGTTGCCAAACTTGTCTTGCAGATGTTGGAAAAAGTCGCCTTCGACCGCTATGAACCTGCATTTTGGCGTCGATACGTGGACGACACGTTCGTTATAATTGGAAGGAGCACACTGGCCGACTTTCAAGACCTGCTTAACGGCTTCTTCTCGGACACTCAGTTCACAAGGGAAGAAGAGCATGCCGAAGAGCTGGCTTTCCTTGACGTTCTCGTCACACGCACACCCAACGGCGACCTCAGCACCACGGTGTACGGAAAGGCGACTAACACGACTCAGATTCACAACTACCATAGTAACCATCCAATGGCGCATAAACACAACTGTGTTAAGACACTCTTTCAAAGGGTAGAAACGCACTGCAGTGAGCCAGAGGGACGAGTACGAGAACTACGGCATCTTCGGGACCAACTGGCAAGGAATGGATGCCCGAACAGCTTCATCAGCCGCTGTCTCCGCACGCACCCTTGGCGAACAAACGGAGGAGAGTCGTCAACACTCTGGCACCCTCTATCATTTATAGAGAACGTGTCCGAAGCTATGGAACGTATCACTGGGGAGCACGGCGTGGGTATCGCTCACCGTCCGACAGCGACCATGCACGACAAAATAATGCGCGTGAAGGACCGACAAGAGGTGGGAGAACAGTCGGGCGTCGTTTATCAGACCCCATGTCGGGACGGCCCTAGCCACTACATAGGACAGACCGGACGACGACTTAGCTCACGAATAACGGAGCATAAACGGGCGGTCCGGAGAGGCGACCCGTTGCCTCAGTTCGTAATTCACGCCCTGGAGGAAGGCCACGAATTCAACTTCTTGAGCACGCGGATAGTAGCCCGGCCCAGCAATAAGACAGGGCGAGAACTGTTGGAGGGCTGGGCGCCTTACACCAACTCTATCAACGGACACGTTGACATACCCCCCCCCTCTGCTATCACGCGCTGCGTTGCCGAGGCCAAGAGGCGAGACCCAATTTCCAGCCTAGGGTGCAGGCGGTCACGCCGCCGTGAGACGGCGTGGGACTCAGCTTATCGCGAATACCACCCTCTGCAGTGTAACGGCCGAGGACGTCAAGGTTAGCACACAACCACGTAACGGAATACCGAGGAAGAGATCCTGGCTTGTGTTGATCTGAATACGATTGTTAGCAGTTCACGATACTCATCCATACATAAAGGAAGAAGAAACGATCGGTGGACGAGAGATGTAATGAACAGAAAAGGGAATCGCAAAGGAGTATAATGACAGTTAAAAGTACAAACGGGATGAGTTACAACAGTCGAGTGACCTGTCTGGGTGGAGAGACGAGGCCAACATGCCAGCTGGAAAACCGGTGGGGAGCGCAGCGCTGGGGGCAACTGCAGGGAAGGGCCAAGGGGTTGCCGATGTAGTGAGGGAAGCGGTACGAACGTTACGACACGATACGGAGCGGGAGAAGGGATCGGCGGCAGAGAGTGGAAGGGACACCGGCCATCTTCACCAACATGCGGCTACGCCATCTCCATTCTAGGTCCACGCGCCAAAAGTGTCTCATCATTCAAACAACTCTGTCCAAGTCCAGGGGCGTTACAGCAGTCATATCCCCCCCTCCTACATGGCTTGACTACAAAAAGTGCTCATTTAATGCCGCATTCTCACAGTCTCTGACGATGGCCTCCTGTACGAGACCGAAAGCTCAGACTAATACACCTACTATTCCAGAGATCGTTTGTTCATCTTCTTTACAACAAGAACCTGGGATTCGCATATTCGCTTCCATTTAAGAAAAAGTTTTGCGATTGCGGGATGACTAAATGAGGGATGACTGAGACGAAATCATGAGGACCCTTTTAGCGGATGTACAATATCCAAGTAACAAAAACCGAACTAGAGGATATTCAGCCTCATTCTGCGAACAGTGCGCACTTGACGCGGAGCGGTGGTAGGTTATGTATGAGTTTTATAAGCAGTGATGGCAGTAAGTCAATCTATCGGCTGGGTTCGTGATGAATGACATAACTGCAGTTTTTTCTGATTTGGTTCCCTAACTGACGACGGATCTGGGACGTGATTTCAGCAGCTTGGATCATAATAACGGCGAATGGATTAGTGCATCGTTAATCCGTTAAAAACAGCTCATAATTCTATGGTACATTACATGGGCTGGGCGTCAAATGTAATTAGCTGTAGTTAAGTGTTTGCAGAATCATGGTATCGGAAATCATAAAAATGGACGGTGAGAGAAGATGTATGGCGTTGGAGAGCCCTTCTGGAAAGAAGTGTTGGGAGATACCAAAACAATATCTAAGTGCCTAAGTGTATTTAACAACACCAACTTCTAGGTGACAGCGTGCCCGGTTCCTGAGTCGCTCCCATAAGTTTCTCAAACACCCTCACCTCATCAGACGCGAAAATTTAATTTGACTAAGAAACTATGGTATTAACAACAAAGAAAAGCCCTGCTTAATTCAACAACGAAGCCGAGTACACATCTGGCAGCTGGGGACGGATGTGCTAGGCTGAATGTGCACATAAAGGGCGCTCACCGATCAGGTTAGGAGACTTGGTCTCGACTGCCGCATCCGACGATATTCATCGTGCGCTTCACAACAAGAAGAAGCAGGTGCAGTGACTAGCGTGTGAATTAGCTTATAGCGAGAGCAGACTTGCCCAGCATCCACCGCACTCTCTCCTCCCGCACCTGGCCCAAGTGTCAAGACAGAGTCATGAAGACCGAAGGCGTGGAGGACGCAGGTGGATGGCCCGGCCGAGTCCGCACTTTGGTGCTTCACTCCACACCCCCTGGTACACAGCAGATACTTGACCAGGGTGTTGACCGGCAGTAAAAGTGGGTCAGGAAGGGAAGGACGATACAAATCGCCGGGCAAACATGCACACGGCCAGTATACCCAGCGGTAGCGCAAGCACATCCACCGGCAGGGAGCCAGGTGTCAGAGAACTGCCAGCACACTCACCAGGATGCGCGCGGCATGGTTTGCTGATAATGACACAGAAGACTCTCACAAACATTGGGGGCCAGAGGGGTGATACACAGCGTTGTATTTGCCTGGGCCATCATCCTTCAAAGGATGGGTAACCAGCCAGTCGTCGAGTGAAAGGCACCACCCAATAAGTACACACACAATCCTCACATACGTGAGAATGCCACAAGTCACTTTAAGAAAGAGCCGTGATAGCCTTGCTCTCAGCCCACCAGTCCGTCACTCCACACAAACACACACACACAAAACAGGGCTAACTTCGTGGGCTGAGTTGAGGCATCAGTTGGCAGCCTTCCAAGACACGGCGTTATTTCGGTAGTCGTGTGTCTTCCATCTGTTCCAAGTAGTCGATCCAATGTAGCTGCAATTGCCTCAACATGGTGTGAATGCTGAGGATGCCGGTCCGTTCTAGGACTTACGTTTCGGGGATCCTGTCTTGCCATATCAGCTTCAGTATTTTGCGAGGACAGTTGAGAGGGAAGTGTTTGACTTCCTTGGTCCAAGTCTCCGCTCCGTAGAGAAGTGTCATCGGGAGGACGGCCTCGTATATCTTCAGTTTGTTATTTATTTGGAGGCCGTGATGATTTCACGCGGAGTTCTGCAGCCGGCCGAAGGCTTGGTTGGCTTTGGAGATCCGGTGGGGAAGCTCATAGTCGATTCTGGTGTAGTTGGAGAGTGTGTTCCCGAGATACTTCTGCCCCGTTCCCATAAAACTGTACTGGCCCGACGAGAATTTATCGAAAGCTACGTATGCTGGCCACCTCGTCTTCTGAATACGCAAAATTATCCACAGTGATTCGCGGTGGAGTGCAGTGTTGCGTGTTGGGTAACGGTTTGTGCATGAGCACCGTTTTGCCCCTGTTGATAGTCAGGCCGAAGTTGGCGCACCCAACAGCGAGGAGGTCCATGCTCCGTTACATTTCCACTTCTGTCTTGGTTTTGAGCGCGCAGTCGTCGACGAAGAGCAGGTCGCGGGTAGTGGTCGTAGATAGTCGCGCGGGGGCTGCATACGCCTGCTGTTGGGAAGATGCCTGTAGATCGTCTTCAACGCAGCGAAGAAATTCTTTGATTCGCTGCGGTTGCCGCATCTCTGGATCTCCTCGGACTTGCGAACCATCCAGGAGCCCTGCATCGATTGGGTGGTCGACGTAGGCTCTGTGCAGCCTGTTCTTCTCGGCCATCAGGTTGCAGAGAGCGGTGGTATTTTCGTCAAATCAGTTCTGGTGCTGGCGACGTGCGCCGCCGAAGACAGCCAGGGCGGTCGAGTGAATAGCGTCCCGTGGCGGCGCCACCGACTGCCTACAGAGGCATTTTCGTCTGCCGCTGACAGTTCTTCCAGTCGCTGGGTCGGTCGATTGCTGAAATAAAAACCGGGGAATGAGAAACACAAAAAGCAGTACTCATCTTATCTGCGGGTAGTTTACATTGTGGCCAAATGCGGGTTTTCAGACGGAGATATATAATGCAGGAGACAAGTCAATGGTTTGCTCAGCCAGCGACGACGCAGATCGACGTGTTCACAAGCACGATCTGTCGATATAGCCGAAGGAAGAGAACATATTCCAGCAGATGCCAGCAACGTGATCAGAGGATCATCCAGGTGGCAACTTACAGAATCGGTAGGCGGAATAAAGTGTTAGTCAGCAGGAGGCTGTTTCAGTGCAGATTCGCTGGACAAGGAGGACAATGTCAAAGCGGCCAAAGATTCCATAAAGACCCAGCACTCCCCTCCAGGCAGCACAGTCTGTTCCGACGCGAGCATTGAAATCACCATGGACAATCAACTTATTTGCCTTCGGCACATATGCCAGGAGGACGTGCAGGTCCTCGTAGAACTTGGTGTTGCCTCATCTGAACCGGTCATTGTTGGGGCGTAGGCACTGATATTGGTGGCGAAGTTGGATCCTCGAAGAAACAGGCAGAAGATCATCAGTGGATCGTTGATGCCTTGAGGCAAATAGAGCGGTCGTCCAACGATGTCGTTCCGGATGGCAAAAATGATGCCCGCCTCTCGTCGCGCTGCCCTGGGGCAGCCGTTCCAGAAGAAGATATAGCCGACACCAACCTCCTCCAGTTGGTCGTGTTGGGAAAACCGGGTCTTGCTGAGTGTAACGATGTCCGCCTTGTAGGCGCTGTCCTCCGCTCCAGTCAGTTGCTTCTGAGATTATCTAAAAGGGCACGAACATTCCAGGCCGCCAGAGTGAGCGGACCCATCCTAACTGCCTGTGGGATGGGGCGGAGGGGAGGAAGTGGGACAGAGAGGGAGTATTTTGTCTTGGGTTTTGGTTTGGACCGCATGTTTAGCAGTCTGCGAGCCACCGTCTGCGTGCAGATGTCGTGAGCACAGTTTGGCTTCCTGGGACTCGCACTTTTTTTGTTACCGACTATGTCCATTGTTTGACCCATAGCATGGTCCCATAGCAGGGACAGGGATTTGCACATGGATCACTTTACAATGATGGTAGGCTTACGCAGAATCTACTACACTCTCTCCTCTAGCACCCTCCTGGGCCCGGTGTCAAGATAGAGTCAAGAAGACCAGATGTGCCTGACAAAGCTAAACAGTCCGTCTGCGCGTGCTACACACGCGCCGGGGTTGCGTACGGAGGGCCAGGCTTTTAAATGGGTGGCTCGGATTCCAACTGAGAGGGAGTCCCATAGATGTCACATTGAGAAGGAGCCATTGCAGTCTGGCTATCCATCCTGAGGGGAGCACCCAGTTACCCCCTCAATTGACACCCTTCCAAGCCACGGCCTTTAGTGCACTGTGATAGATTCTAAGCTTGTTAAGAGTCAGCAACATGCGCTATCTGTCGTAGGAACGCAGTCTCCAGAATCGACCTCATTTGTTCTTCCCTCTCACAGGCACCAGTTCACCGTCTAAGCCGAACAATCGTCGGATGCAGAGATTGGGTGCAGTCGCTGACGGAATTAGACAACATATCTGCGTGAACCACACACACACAAAGTGGCCGTCCAATAGTATACCAGAATTTTCCACAAAGGGATTGGTGATCGGATCTCACACGCGTGAGAGTGAAAAAGGGGTATGCTTGATGAAATTTGTGCCGTAATACATCCTGCAAACACAAGAACACT